CAAGAACTAATATCAAAAGCAGCTTTTCAAAAAGAAAAAAAGTACTAGTAAGTGATGGACAAATGAATGCTGCCATGTTCACACTGAAGTTATTTTGACAATTGCACATTCATTGTTTTGTTTTAACTCTATATAGCTTCTCTGTAGCTTTGAGTCAACTTTAACTTATCCAAGGCACACAAATCTTATCAGAATAAGAAAACAAAAAAAAAAACAAAACAAGATCCACAGTCTGTTTTATATGTCCTAAAGAAATCTAGAAATATAAACTAATACAAAATTAAAAGTTGGCATGACTATGAAACTCAAGTATAATTGTAGTTGAATAATGTATGGTAAAAATTTTCAGAGGTAAAGACTAAGGAGAAAATTTTCTATGTTCACTAACAATTCAACTTTGTTATTTATCCCATGCTTGGATATTTCATATTCACAACAGCACGATCATGTTTACACAGACCTGAATAGCAAAAACAATGTTCAGCTTCATATATGTTTACTAAAAAAAGTCTCAAGGATCTTGATGGTTCTTATCCATCTCTATGTTTCCAAACCAGAGAACACTTGTATAACTAGATTAAAGAGAATGCATCCTTTTATCAAAGTTCCATGTCGAAGGCCCCTAAAACTATTTTAGGTACCTTTCTCCTTGTAGCCCATACTTTCTAGTTTCCATGCCTTGTACTTATATCCCTTTAAATGTACTTTCCCAGATCAAGTCACATCCATTCTTTTTTTTAAAAAAAATATATTTTTTTTAATTTCAGAGAGGGAGGAAGAAATAGAAACATCAATGATGAGTTGCATGCCCTGGTGCATGCCCCACACCGGGGATCAAGCCCACAACCCAGGCATGTGCCCTGACCTGGAATTGAACCATGACCTCCTGATTCATAGGTTGATGCTCAACCACTGAGCCATGCAGGCTGAGCAAGTCACATCCAATCTTCAAGTCCCTGTTTATAAACCACTCTTCCAAGACACTTTCTCTGCTGTTATCCTGTCTTCGCCAAATGGAAGTGATCATTCTCTGAACTCCCCTAGCCTTCTGTCTCTACTATTTTGACTAATACCCCAGGGGTTCCCATGACCCTGCCCAGGTTCAGTGATTTTCTAGGACATTGACCTTATAGTCATACACTGAGCTATGACTTATAACTATGAAAGGGTACAAAGGAAAATCCGCAAAGGGAAAAAGCATGTGGGGTGAAGTCCAGAGGAAACCAAGAGAAAATTTCCAACCTTCCAAAAGTTTACCCCCAGTGGAGTTGTACAGGATGCACTTAATTCCTGCAGCAATGAATTGTGACAATGTGAACTGAGATATCTACCAGGAAAACTCACTGGAGGCTCAATGACTAAAGTTTTTATTGGGGTTTGGTCATGTAGGTACCTACAAATTCTAGACTCTTCTAGGAAAGCAGGTATTTAGGACAAATCACATAGTTTGCATTGTTTAGGCACAGTGAACCATTTTTTCAATTAAGATGGTTCTCTATTTCTGAACGCCAAGTTCTCAGATGCCAGCTAAGGACCAACCTGCCAGCAGGTCTTCTTCTAAAATTAAGAGTCTCAGGCTGCTCTGTCATATTTTCTGCATAGGAAGTCACACAGTTAAGATATATATATATATATATATATATATATATATATATATATATATATAGTCATATTTTAATTCCTTTACTGTCAGATCACTGAGGGCTTGGAAGATTTTTTTCTTACTCCATCAATTCCAGCAGTATGGAATAAGATTCCTGCCGGATGGGAGACATTCCATAAGTACTGGTGATTAGAAGGTCTGCTGATTCAGGAAGGAACAGCAAAAAATAGGTAGGGGAAAAAACTCAACAGGGTGGAGGGCATTTCTGCTATCCCATTCTGAATGGAGTCCCCTATATTAACTACGATTTTCCCATATCAAAGAATAGGGGATGGAACAAACTTGATAAAAGATAAGGGATACCATTATGAATAATATTGCTACTGATCTCAGATAATTTATTATATATATTTTTATATATAATATTTTTATATATGTACTTTTTAAGAAAGCAGGACTATGCAATTTTGTTCAATAAAAATTCTGTCAGATCACTGACATTTTAATCCTGTCAAGTCTCAGTTATTCTTATTCCACTCAGAACACAATACATATATTATAACACGTCTCAAATTTATTTGCTTACAAAAAGACTTACTGAGCACTTACTGTTACAGAGATATAAATATTACGAGCCCCATAATAAGAATAGCTAATACACAGGGCCAGTGTTCTAAACACCACTTCAAGAGGTAGATACTGTTATATATTCATCTTTTACAGACAAAGTTACTAAGGAAGTTCACTCTCCTGAGCAGTTACTCTGGAAACTATGCTCTTAATTGCTCTGTTATAATGATTATCACATCCTTGAAAGGCTCACAGTCTTTTGTTTCACATAAAAAATATATTTTTACATAAAATATTATTTTGACAAAATTAGAGAAAAAATATTCTTGTTCCATTTTAATGTTTTCTTCTCTCCCACTTTAAAATAAAAGGGCTACAATATTGCTAGATTTTCTCATTTCATACTTGGTAAGTTATATGGTTTTATTGAACAATTTATCATTTAGTGATTCATAAAAAAGTAGCGAGGACTCAACAATGTATTTAGCATTTGTGACTATTCTGAACACAAATAAAAGGGAAGTTATATTGGTTTAAAGAAAAAATAGATATGCACACTGAAATCCTTTTATCCCTACAGGTGTGAGATAGTTGATTTTTGCTATTGTACAATTAGAGTGACTGTTTAAGAAGAGAGCTTTTCATTTCTCTCTGAATAGCATGCACTTTTATCATTAATTGCCTCCCACGCAATGACACAATTAATACATAGCAGAGCCTGGAAGAACTCACAGAAAGGAAACCGTACTCCTGATATTTTTATTTTTTTGCTTCTTACAGAACAAATTAAAAGTCTAAAATGTTATAAACCAGCTGCACTATGTCAAACTCAAACTGCAGTTGGAAATGCAGATATAATGTCACCCCTGGATAAGGAAACAATAACTGGTGTGAGGAAGGAGTTGTCAGGACTGTTTTCATGTTGCTAGGTCAACATTAACATTCAAGTTCAGAAGATAGAAATGTTCTGTAGCTGTGGGCTAGGCTCTTCATAGCGTGACTAAGATAATAGATATTTCAAAGATATTGTTTTAATTTACAACCACTTAAAAACTCATTCAGGTGACTGATATCATGCTCAAGTCATACTGGAGGCATCTGTGCCTTAGGAAGGCTAAGTGATGGTCTCAGGGTTACGTAAGTAAAAAGTCCAAGGAAGCAGCAAGTTGCACTCAGATCCTCTCTCTCCAGAGTTACTACTCTTAACCACTAAGCCACATGGCCTCTCAAATATCTATGAAGGTACCTAGATTTGAGTGTAACAGACATGTTCAGTACCATGTAGTGAGCTGCAATTCTCCATGTGTCTCTTACATCTCTTACAAGAAGAACCATTGATTGCTTTTGTTCTGGGATATCTTTTTAAAGATGTTTGTATAGTGGCTAGCATTGCAGCATCCTATATAATAAAAGGGTAATATGCAAATCAACTGAATGGAGGAACGACTGGTTGTTATGATGTGCACTGACCACCAAGGGGCAGACGCTCAATGCAGGAGCTGCCCCCTGGTGGTCAGTTTGCTCCAACAGGGGGAACGCCACTCAGCCAGAAGCTGGGCTGATGGCTGGCGAGCACAGTGGCCTGCGTTAAGGATGCCCACTCCCCGCCTGAGGGCTCCTGGACTGCTAAAGGGTGCAGTCCCCCCCTCCCCTGCCAGTGCACAAATGTCATGCACTGGGCCTCTAGTAGAGATATAATCTCCCTATCGAGCAATGGACAGGTATGTTTATTGCCTATTAAAAATATTAGGGTTTTCTACACTCAGGATTCTGTGTCCCCCCCCCCCCCCGCAATCAACTCAGTGTGCTTGCAGGTGTCACCTGACCATCTTGGCATTGTCTCAGAAGAACTGATCTTGGAAAACCAGCTCAAGAAAATAGCTGATAGTCTGGCTACTGCTATTTTTCAATGGGTAATAAAGTTCTTTGTTGCCAAAAACAACCCAAAATTTAAAAAATGTCCTTAAATTGGAAGTAGATTTAGGTTCCATGGTGCCTAAAGTTTATTACTATGTTGGGGTCCCTCTTGAAGGCAAAACATAAAAATTGCATATACAAAATTAAGTTCAAGGCTGCAAGAAGGGTGCTGGCAAGTGAGGGGTCCTATAATAAAAGTTTTATTCATGGTAAATCCATCTCTGTCTGAACTTTATTTTTGGAATTCATAAATTTCCAATTTGACAAATGGCTCTAAATGACTTTTCACTTCCCAAAGCAGCAAGCCTACACATCGCATAGTGCCTCATTTTAGAAAATAGCTCTTAATTTTTGTTTCCGGGGCAAAATAAAAATCTATAGTATCTCTCCCATGCCAAAATGTTTTCAACACTCTTGTGTCTTGGTCAGATTTATAGATAAATCTAGGGGGTATTTTTTTTCGTTCATCTGTTGACTCTTAAGTAAATATGATCAAACTAATGTCTTAAATTAATTTATAAAACCTGCCCTGGTGACAAGAATAGTTAAGTTCTAGCATCATTGAACCCAAACTCCTGAAATGTTGAATTCATGGAAATCATACTATGAATGTTGATATAGTTTCATGTGGATATGTGGCAGCTCTATGATGCTTGAAACACGAGGGAAAAAACATACTTTGTATGACACTCTGAAAGTAGCAAATGATCTTTTGCACACAGCACTGAAGAGGAAAAAATAGCTTACCTCATTTTGTTGTGTAAAATCATGCCTTTTAACACAGTAAAAGCTTGAAATAGTTAAAACCATTCATACGTCATATTCGTGTATTGTTCACCGATAACAATTATAGGTAAAACATTATAAATATGGAAGTCAATAAACAATTAAGAAAATAAAGTTCACCTACTTTTGAGATATTACTTGATCGACTTGCAGATCGTCCTGGGGATTTTTCATTCTGAAAAATAAAATTAGAGTCATTGATTAAACATACAGCAATAGTCTTCACCACTGAGAAAAGGAAAAACATAGCAAAGGCAGATGTGTAAATGCTCTTGGCGTTGGTCTGATAGATGTACAAACTGCTTATACAGGATGACTTGTTTCTTACTAAATAGTGTGTTTCTAGCACGTATAGTGTCCCTTTTCAAAATGTTTCAATTGACACCAGGGTATAGATCAGTCAAGAAGTATTTATTTCCAGAAAACGCTTATTTCTCTAGAAAAAACATATGCAGTTCCTTTGAAATAAAATTAGACAGTAAAAATACAGTCCATTATTTTAACTTTTGCTTTTGCTACCAGGAAATTCTGAGTAAATTCTGGGTCTCAGTGTTAGTAAATATTGTATACATCTGACCCCTTCTTCTAACATGTACTTTATTGGTTTTCCTGTTATTTTCCTTTTGAAATAAAATAATCTAAACTATACTTTACATTAAAATATTTAATTTTTTAAATTAAAAATACTTTAAAAATTATTTTAAAATTTAAAATGCAAAATTAAGTTAAAAATTACCTCAATGTTTGCCTCTTAAAGATTTTCTAATTTCATAGACAAGAAGCATAAAAAAAGGTTTTGAATAAATAACTTTAAAAAAAGTCATACAATTTTAAAGGAGGAAGGAACCTTAAAGAGTGTTAACCCTTCCTTGGAAGCCCAGAAACATTCTGTTCCTGCCAGTCATGGAGTCGGTGCCAGTGAGGCCTTCTGACGGGTCCATTCTGGTGCTTTCCACTCCACCAATTACCTGCTGGTGGATAAGTGACTGGCACTTAACATGTAGCAAGAGATCACAGTGCTCTTCTTCCGCCCAGAAAAAGTGGGAAGAACTTGTTCTGGAAATCAGAAGTTGTGAAAGATCTGAATTAACCTTGTCACTGAAATGCTTTAGGATTCTCTTAGAGATTTTCTGAGCATCTGGACTCAGCACGAAAGTGGACTTGAGCAGACACCTTGACAGAGGTCATTTTTGAGAACTTAGTTGTTATAACAACCTGTGGATCTGAAATCGCCCCATGATGATGGCTTGAGACAGTTTCAGAAACTGCTGATGACAGGTTATGGCAAACGTGTTATTGTGGAAACACAGTAGCTACATTCACTGCAGACTGTCACCGCATCAGGCACAGGTTTGCAGATAGATATTCCAGCTGAACAGTACTTTTTCCTTTACATGCAACATCCATCTCCTGCAACCACTCATGTCACTGTGGAGCATGTTATTACAGAGCGAGATGAGTCCCAACGATACGATTAGTTACACCTCATAACAGCCCCGTGATCCAGGGGGAGATTAATGTATCTACTACCCACAGACATTTTTCCTTGATTAGCTTCCCCTGGTGATGGAGAGAGGTACTTTTCAACTGACATCTCAACTCCTCTTCTAGAGACTAGAAAACAAAAGCAATTCATCTTTCCTTCTCAGTGAAATTCAGGATTTTGACACAATGGAACAGAGGTAAATAGGCCACACAATATTAATAGGCTTGGGGAACAGTTTCGTTGTCCTGTGTTTTGTTATGTTTTCTATATTAAAATGGTATTTGAGGACGTGATTGAGGAACTAAAATTGAAAGGTGCTTCAGCAGGAAACAAGAAGTGCTGTAGGAAATGTAATTTGGCATCAGATGACCTAATTTTTCAACCAAATAGGACTTTGTGGTGTTGTTTTCAGATAGAACAAGGAGGGTAAGGCTCCCTCCACAACTGTGAATGAGTTCAGCACAGGGTTATAATTAGGAGATAATTCCATACTCTTCCCCAGCACTCCCCAATCTAATGGGGAGGAAGCATCTGATTGATTATTTAGTTCTTCAAGGGATCTTTTAATGTGAAACCTGTTGGTTCCATTTTCTCCTAAAACTAGGTGAGGCATTGAAAGAAATGAATGAGCTCACGCAAAGGTTAAATTGGTTGCCATGGCTTCATTCCCTATTGTCTCTATTCCAGTTACCATATAGGAACAGAGGTGCACTGTTTGCCATGTTGGCAGTGGCAAGAGTAAGAGACTGACTTGCAATTAGACCTGCAGGAGTGTACTAGCTTTAGCAGGAATGTACTGTTAGACATTTCAGGACTTAAATTTCCCTCACTATGAAGCAGAGACTGTTGTAAGAATCAAGCAAGTTATAACTGAAACCATTTTATAGATTGCAAGGTTATAATATTTCCATTATTGTTTACAGGCAGAGAAAACACCAAAAGAGCGCCCTCAAATTTCATGACGGCCCGGCCAGTGTGGCCTGTGGTTGAGTGTTGACCTATGAACCAGGAGGTCACAGTTCAATTCCGGTCAGGGCACATGCCCAGGTTGCAGGCCCAATCCTCAGTATGGGGCATGCAAAAGGCAATTGATCAATGATTTTCTCTCATCATTGATGTTTCTATCTTTCTCCCTTCCTCTCTGAAATCAATAAAAATTGTATTTTTTAAAAAATTTTATGATGACCATCACAGATTACGAGACTCATACTTTTCATATAAACATTTGAGTTCCTCAGTTCTGTAATTCTGCCTCTATTGTGGATTAGATTTTGATATATAAAATTTAAGAACAGAAAATCAAAATTTTCTCTACCCAAGGGAGTTAAAGAATTTTGGTCTCCCTTGCCTTTGAAGCAAAGAGCCAGGAGCACTTTATCTCTTGGAAAACTTCCAAAGCTATCTGTCCAATTTTCTATTTATTAATTGGGTGGCTTGTGCCATTACTATTGCAATGACATATTCTTCTTTGTAGATTAGTCAAATATGGTTGTCATACCTCATTATGATCAGTTTAAATTCTTTACCTTAGATGAAACAGAAGCTGTCTCAGATTCTGACATCACTTATTGGGACCCAAATTATAGTGACCTTGTAGGTCAACAAAAGTTGGAGCCACAAAGTTCTAACAAGTCTGCATGGAAAGTCTGAGGCTAGCAGATCATTTAAAATATGCAGATGGAGAGACTTGGTTTGATAATTGCTTTTTAATATTTGTAAGAGGTTTCAGAATTTGGTTTGATATGATTGTATCTGAGAGTGTCAGTTTTTTGTGATTATTATTGATAATATAATAATATTTTAAAATTTCATCTCAATTAAATGTGGTTGAATTTTTATCAACAGCAAGAAATACAATGATTACCAAATAAAAAATCATTACTAAATTGTTTTAATATATTATAAATGTCATGATCTAAGGAAAGTGGCATAGCCCCTTTAAAAGGAAATGGTCTGTGTTAATGAAGACACAATATGACTGGCTTTGTATCTACATAGGAATACTCTATATTTTATAGCATTGATCAGAAGAAGGCAGTAAGGAAGCTTGTAGCAGGTTTTATATGTAAACTGAAGGGAAAAACTATTCCGGAGTGAAGAAACTGGAATAAGACAGTCTCACACAGACCACTGATATGATGCTATTCTGCAGTATAGTCCACTCTTCCCTCCTGCCTCCCCACAGACTAAAAGTCAAGAGTATTGGAAAGAAAAAAAGAGTGAGATAATTTGGAGGGTGACCTGAAGAATTCTAAGTAGAAAATAGACTATTTTTTGCTAGGATAACTAAAGCTTATAATAGAAGAAAGTCTCTGAAAACAATGAAACATAAATAAAAAATAAACAAGAACGTAGCAAAAAATGACTAATGCAATAAGAACATAACTAGTAGATATATAAAAATCCATGTCCATTAATTAAAACATACTCTTTTTAATGTCTATAAAACATTTAAGAATTATTTGACCTCAAATAATACCTTAACAAAAATATTTAAGTAGGAATTTTATAAGGCACTTCTCTTGATATTGAGCAAATAAAATTAGAAATACAAATTTAAATGTGACTAATCTTTTGTTGTTGTTAATCCTCACCTGAGGATATTTTTTCCATTGATTTTCAGAGAGAGAGAGGAGATATTGGTTGCCTTCCACAGGTACCCCAACCAGGGCCAGGGATCGAACCTGCAGCCTAGGTACCTGCCCTTGACCTGGAATCAAACCTACAACTCTTTGGTGAGCAAGCCTACGCTCTAACCACTGAGCAATGCCGGCCAAGGTAAAATGTGACTAATGAATCTTTGTCACCTGAAAATTACTTACCAAATCTTTAGATAATGCTTCTTCTAACAAAATGAAGACTCTCTGGGAAATCATAGCCAGACACTCTAGAAAACAGCACACTAACACCTTTGGAACACCACAAAAGCTGTATCCAGGTAAGCATTTATTTTATTTATTTAAAATATATTTTTATTGATTTTAGAGAGGAAGGGAAGGAGAGAGAGAGATAGAAATATAAATGATGAGAGGGAATCATGGATTGGCTGTCTCCTGCACACCCCCTACTGGGGATCGAGCCCGCAACTCAGGCATATGCCCTTGACTGGAATTGAACCCAGGACCCTTAAGTCCGCAGGCCAAAGCTCTATCCACTGAGCAAAACTGGCCAGGGCCAGATAAGCATTTACAAATGTAAATGGCTTTGTTATTAAAGAACACAGTTCAAAATAAAATAATATAGTGAAAGTTATAAAATATAAAAGCTAAATAGGAAGGATAAAGAAATACTTTTTTATAGCAGGTCTTTCTAATATAATTACAAAATAGATGAACTTCTTATAACGTTTATTAAGGAAAAGAGAGAGCAACATTATATAAGAAATGAGAAAGGATACAGAACCGAAGACACAGAAGAGATCAGAAAAACAGATTATAAAAGCTACATGTAGTGCTATTGCAACAAATTTGAAAACCTGGAGGAAATGAGTCATATTCTGGCAAAATCAAAGTTACCAGAATTTATTCAACATAAAGGGGAAAACTTGATAGATAACAAAGAAGAGATTGGAAAACTCAATGAAAGTCTGTACGCCCTAAAAAGATAAGGGTATGATGATTTCATAACTGAGCTGCATCTTACTTTTAAAGAACAGTTCCAATTTTATTTATACTATTCTTGACTATAGA